CCACATGCTGCTGTATATGATCTTCAGTTACCAACTCATCCACAATCTCATGCCCTTAGAAGCTCTAGCGATCGGTTGAGCCGAAAATGCAAGATGAAAAAATCAGTCTTTTTAGCTAAAAAATGGCAGGGATAGACAAAAAAAAAAGTGCGAACCGATTTCCGCATCTGCTGAGAGATCGTCCGAAAAATCATCACCTTCGTCCGGATTTAATTCCTGGCATTCACACATCTGTTGGTAGATATTCTGCACTGAAAGAAAAAAGCCGAACTGAAAAATCACTTTAAAAATCCCCAATAACTTCTACTCATAGCTATTCATACCAAATAGTATGCTAAAATACAATTGCCAAAATAAATGAAAATTAAAAATTCCTCCAAATTTTACTTTTTAAGGAAGCTAGAGCCGTTCGAAAGCAGAGCCAGTGGATAGTTTATCTCTTAAGAAATGAACTAATAAACCATGATCAACTACAGGTAAAATTACCAAAAATTTCCTTTTCAAATTTGCCCAGAAGTTTTCATGAAATGTGCCATGACAAAGAGTCAAAACCGCCATCACCTTGCTTTCAGCGATAATCTCTGAATAATTTAAAGCACTTCAGCTCATCCCCCGTCTCAAAAATAATCCGAATCGAATCGTTGCCGTCTTGCCAAGCCGAATAAACCATAAAAAAAGAAACAACTGCTTCAAACTTACATATATTTTTATCCTGGGGCACAAAACGTATCGTCAGTTGTGGCTTCTCGTCCTCATCCTCCTCACTTTCCTCACCATCTTCTGCCACTTCAGCGCCAGCCATCACAACTTCCTCGCCACTTCTCGTTGGCTGTTGCGGAGCATCAGCAATACCAATGTCTGCAGTTTTTAACGGTAAACTACGGTAAAATCGGCTGCATTTGAGTGATAAACATTCACTGGCCGTTGCTTTCGTTGATCAAAGACTAAGTATTTAAGATTAGGAAGAAGCAGGAATAGAGATATTAGTCATGATTTATATAAAAATATAAAATAATATAAAAATATGAAATATCAAAAACCTGGATGAACAGGAATATTACGGCCTGTTAAACAGTAGACATTCCTATCAGCACTACAACTGGGCCTTACGACGATCGTGCACATATACAAAAATATAAAATTATTATATCAGAAACCTGGACGAACAAGAATATTTCGGCCCATTAAGTAGCAGACACTCCAAATTTAGCACTACAACTAGACCTGGTCATTACGGCAGTTGTGGTGTTGATAAAATCAATAAAATTAAATAAATTTATATGAGAAAATTGCTTATATTAAAAGAACTGCCTAATAATTGGTTTATAAAATGAAACGTTAGAAGGGTCATTACTGGTTTTTCTCAGGAATATCAGCAAAACCGAACAATAAAACTAATTACCCATAAGATTTTAGTAATCCTAGCAAATGATGTAAAAATTTATCGTATTATTGACGTAAAAGAAAAATAAATTACATATCCTTTCCCGCTGCTTATGCAATCAATTTATAGTGATAAAAGAAGTCTAATTTCTTGAATAAACTTCAAAATTCAAAAAAAAAATCATTCGTGACTGATCATCGAAACTGTCAGAACATATCACAGATTTACATCATCGATTCCCCCCCCCCCCCCCCCCCCTCTATCCACTTCAAAAACCACAATTTTACCTAAAACTGAACCAAGAAAATGGCTAATAACCAAAAAAGCACCCATAACTGGTTATTGGAACTATCAAAACAAAGACCTCAAATTTGATCAAAGATCCTCCTCCCTCCCTTCCCCCCCCCCCCCCCCCCCCCCCCCC